GACGGCAAACAACAACAACAAATTTATTCTATCATACTGCCTTAAATTACACTTAGTCAACTATTTCCTAATATAAGCATTTGAGGATCTCAAAGCCACACACATTTCTTATATGTAGTGTTTTTAATATTGAACAATTTTAATTAAAAAAATTCCATTATGTTTTGAATCATGAGTTATAGAGAAGTGAAGTTTAATATTTTCAAATGTACAGGGCTATTGCTTTAGTCATTTAAATTTTTTTTCTAGACAGTATGTCTACATGACACATATCTTTTAAAATTATTATTGAGACTTGCTTTGCCTTTATGTCTTGTACATGGTCTATTTTTATAATGTTTCATGTATTTTGGAAAGGATTATATGTATAGTCTTGCATTGCTTAACATCCACAATACATCCTGTTGAAAAGGACATTATGTGATTTGGATGTTGTGCATACACCATATCATAGGTTGGTCCTCTTTTTCATTAAGCATTTTGGATAAACTTTGTGCCTTAACTGTGATCATCAATTTGCTGAGAGGGATTTGCTTTTGTGTTTGGTCCCTAATCCATGTCATTAGCAATTTCTCCATATGTGATATAGGTCTCTCTCACATTTTTGTCAACCTTGTAGCTTTCAGCGGGAGCCAATCTTTTTACAGCTTAGAGAACTTTTTCTTTGTTCTTGAGAATCGTGGTGATTGTTGAGTATTGTCAGGTGCCGTCAAGTCATTTCCGACTCAGCGCCACTATGCACAGCAGAAAGAAACACTGCCTGGTCCCACGCCAGCTCCACGATCCTTGCCATACTTAAGCCCATCTGCGCAGCCACTGTGTCAATCCATCTCGTTGTGGGCCTTCCCCTCCTTCGTCAACTGTCCACCTTACCAAGAATGACATCCCTCTCCAGGGAATGGTTCCTTCTGATAACATGACCAAAGTAGATGAGACGTAGTCTGGCCATTCTCACTTCCAAGGAGCATTCCGGCTGCACTTCCTCTAGGACAGATCTGTTAGTTCTTTTAGCAGTCCATGGCACTTTCTGCATTCTTCGCCAGCACCACAACTCAAAAGCACCAACTGTTCTTCAGTCTTCCTTATTGTCCAGTTCTCAGATGCGTATGAGGCGACTGAAAATATCATGGCTTGTGTCAGGCGCACCTTAGTCCTCAAGGAGACATCTTTGCTCTTCAGCGCTTGAAAGAGGTCCTTTGCAGCCAATTTACCCAGTGGTATATATCGTCTAATGTCCTGCTGCTTCCATTGGCATCGATTGTAGAACCAAGCAATGTGAAGTCTTGACATCTTCGATCTTTCTTCCATTTATCATGATGCTGCTTATAGGAGTAGCTGTGAAGACTTTTGTTCTCTTTATATTGAGATGTAATCCATACTGCAGACTGTATTCTTTAATCTTCATCAGTCAGTGCTTCAAGTCATCCTCACTTTCAGCAAGCAAAGTTGTGTCGTCAGTGTATATAATGCTTGTTGAGTGGGACGTGCCTAAATCGTGAGCAAAAGCATGCCCTGAGTCTCCCTCCTCATGCTGTTTAATAACCTTTGGTTTCACATCCACATCGATGCTTCTCCTCCGTCGCTTGCTGCTGCTCCACCAGCACTGGTTCTCCTGTGTCTGGGGGTCAGGGTAAACTTCACGGTAATGTTTTCCACAGAATATTGAACAGAGATGGGTGATACATGAGATCAGACGCTGCTGCCCATGAGTCAAAGTATATATTGTTATACAGGACACTGTTTATACAGAAAGTGAAGGACAGTACATACATACATCAGCAACATGGCCATTTAGTAGGACTATCAGGGCATATGTATTATGTTCTGTACCATTAGATGCCTGGCGGTGCAGTTCCTTTGTATACAAGAGACGTGAGATACACATGTTGCATAGGGGAAGCTGTTGTGTTCTCTGTATCCAGTTCCCTGATTGGGAATCTGAACTCTATAATAACCTTAAGGGACCATGGACATATGTGCCTATGGTTGGACACTGGCTGAATGGATGTTATGTGGGGAATAATTATAATGCACGTTAGAGCAGTCCTGTTAATCATATATATCCTTAGCATATTTTGTTTGCTTATTAGTTAATAAATGTACCAAAATTTGCTATGGCTGAAAATGTCTTTTTCTTTGGAATTCTGTCCATTTTTGTTTATGTAACTTGAGACTAAGTTGTTATGGGTACAAGTTTAGAATTGTTTTCTCTTCTGGTGAATTTTATTCTTAAATAAAATGTTTATTATGGTGGGAACAACGTTTAGATGGAAGAGAAACCGTCTCATTGATAAAAGAACTACTCACTATCCTCCATGCCACGTACCTTCTCTGTCTTAATTTCTCCCTCTTTGACTCTTAATGTTGTATTCTGAATAATTACTTCAGTGTTATTTTCTAACTAATTCATTCTCTTTTTAAGCTCAACCTAGTCAGAATTGAATTAATCATTGTTGTTGTTGTTGTTAGGTGCCAGAGAGTCAGCTCTGACTCATAGCGACCCTGTGGACAACAGAACAAAACACTGCCCGGTCCTGTGCCAGCCTCACAATCCTTGCTATAACTGAGCCTGTCATTGCAGCCACAATGTCAATCCATGTCGTTGTGGGCCTTCCCCTCTTTCATTGACCCTCCACCTTACTGAGCATGACATCTTTCTCCAGGGAATGATTTCTTCTGAAAACATGACCAAAGTAGGTGAGACGAAGTTGGGCCATTCTCACTTCCAAGGAGCATTCCGGCTGTACTTCTTCCAGGACAGATTTGTTCATTCTTCTGGCAGTCCATGGTACTTTCAGTATTCTTCACCAACACCACAACTCAAAAGCATGAACTCTTCTTTGGTCTTCCTTATTCATTGTCCAGCTCTCACATGTATATGGGGCGATTGAAAATACTGTGGCTTGGGTTAGGTGCACCTTAGTCTTCAAAGAGACACTTTTGCTCTTCAGCACTTTAAAGAAGTCTTTTTTGGCAGATTTGCCCAGTGCAATATGTTGTCTGATGTCTTGACTGCTGCTTCCATTGGTGTTGATTGTGGAACCAAGTAATATGAAATCTTTGACAACTTCAGTCTTTTCTCATGATGTTGCTTATTGGTCCAGTTGTGAGGATTTCCACTTTATGTTAAGATGTTAATTATTAGTTTCCAATTATATATTTTTCATTTCTACAGGGCACTGTGGCTGTTCTTATTCAATCCTCACATTATGTATCTTCCATTCTGTGGGTTTTAATGTCTCCTTTCTTTGCATATTCTTTTTCATATGCTGCATTTGATCATTACAATAATTTGTTCCTTTGGGTCTGATTCTATTTGCTTATTCTGTTTGCTATCACTCATGGTGCCTTCTAGCCTCAAATGTGCAATTTTGTACTACGACGCTGCAGTCTTGATGTTGAACTGTGGAAATTCTGACAGGCATAGATTGACAATGTGAGGAAACTTTACATTGTTTCAGTCCTAACTGGGCTTTATAAATTTAGGGTCTCTTTAAGTTAATGTCTTTGTTTAGTGTTTCTAAGCTATAAAGGCTATATTAATTCAAACTCTGCACCATATGAGGGCAGGCTAGCCAAACATGATTTCTCTGAGGACTTGTCATCATGTGAAGAGCATGTGGAGCTCAGCCAACACTGACAAATTTCCCCTTGGGTCCCTTAGAATCAGATGGATTTTTTATTGTTGTTATTTTTCTAGAAGATTCTTTGACTGAAAACCTCTAGGGACTCTAGAGTTATGTAGGAATCTCAGTTACAAAAATCTGCTCCCCCACTGCCTACTCCTCCTCCTTCCACTACCCAATGCTCTGCCCCTCGCAAAAAAAACTCACTGCCATAGATTTGACTCATAGTGACCCCTCCTTGGCATTCCGGGGTGGTATCTCTACAAAAGTAGATTGCCCAACCTTTCTTCTGAGGAGTGGCTAGTGGGTTTGAACCACCAGCCTTCTGGTTAACAGTCAGATGCCTTAGGCACTACACCACCAGAATTCTCCTCTGGGCCTAAGGAATTGGAAATACTTCAGAGGTGCTCTAATCAATTCTAATGGATTATTCTTGGTTTCTTGATTCCTTTCTGTTTTCAGCAAACTAGTGATTTACACTATATTCTTGAGACATCAGCTATACATTTTAGAAACTGAGTATTTGGCTTTCTTTCAAGATACTTTTTCTGCCATATTGGTGGAAACTGAGGTCACAACTTGTTTTTGTAGCCTGTCTTGTCACCATGTGAAGAGCACATTTTCCATTTATGCACTCTTTAATTTTTTTTTTTTTTGGGGGGACGGCTAGTACTCTGGAATTTACAACATTCCATTCAAGAGTGAGCAGTGAAAATAAAGTAATTCAACATCCTAACTAAATAGTGATCTTAGGCAGATTTCCTTAACTTTCAGTCATTTCTATTTATAAAATGAAATCTATAGTATCACTAATTCTTATCACTGGGCCATCAGAATCCTCTGGAAACATTTTCTTAAATATATTTTTTTCACCCAAGATAGACTGAATCATAATCTCCCAGGGCAAGTTTGCAGGTCTCAGTTTAGTTTGGATTTTCCTTTCTTTGTGTTAAAGAAAATAACTATTTCCTTCCCACTGCACCCCTACCTACCCCTCACCTTCCCCACCTCCCCATCTTTAAGACAGAGGGAAATGCCATACCACATAGTGAGTTAGTCCAACTGCTTCACCTCTAATTAAATTTCTTTCTTAATATAAACTGTGTTTGACAAGGGCATAATTTCTCAACACTAAGCTTGATTGCTCAGAGGAATGGGGGTACCAGGGTATAGAACTGGATAGCTAGAAAGTGGTCTCTTTGGGGTCACAATAACGCTGCAGGATCATATAGTAAGTTGTTGGAAACTTGGCCATTTTTGTTTGAATTTCTGTAATTATTTTTCAGTTTCTCTTTGGTACTTAGGAAATATTTTGGAAAATATCACTGTGAGCTAATCAACTGTACTGAGGAGAATACTCACATTTGACCTGATGAAGGAGAGGGAGCACCGTGGCTCTGGGGAAAGGAACATCTCAGAAGAAAGGAAAGAAGGAAGACTGGGCGCCCTCCCTATCCAGGAAATACTTCTGGTCAATCTTTTTGGGAAGTATTTTCAAAAGTGGGATGGATTTCATGTGTGATTTGAAGTGAAGGTCATATCTTTTCTTCTATCCTCAAAGGCATGGAGGACTTCCT